TGGGCACCCCGGTCGCGAAAAAACCTTTGAACTTATCAGCCGGGACTACCACTGGCCATTGATGCGAAAATACATAGCGCGTTACGTTCGTAATTGCCATATTTGCCAAAGAAGTAAGCCCAGTAACCACACAAAATTTGGAATCCTTCGACCACTACCCATAGCTCAACAACCATGGCAAGAAGTGTCTATGGACTTTGTTACTGGATGACCCGTAAGTGATGGATTTGACGCAGTTATGGTAGTAGTTGATAGACTGACGAAAATGCGTCATTTAATACCCTGCAATACCACAACCAGTGCTCAAGATGTCGCTCGACTATACCTGTGTAATATTTGGAAACTTCACGGTCTACCAACGCATGTTACTTCGGATCGCGGGACCCAATTTACAGCCAAATTCTGGAGAGAACTATGCAAGCATTTATGTATTAAGGCAAGAATGTCCACTGCCTTCCACCCAGAAACCGATGGCCAAACCGAAAGGTTTAACGCTGTAATGAAACAGTACCTAAGGTGTTACGTATCATACCAGCAAGACAATTGGGCCAAGTGGCTACCAATGGCAGAATTCTCTGCAAATAACCACGTGTCTGCCTCCACTAAGGCAACACCATTTATGAGCAACTACGGGTTTCATCCTCGCTTTACAATTACCATGAAACCCTACCCAAAAACGCCACAAAGCCACGATTCCAAAGAATTTGCCCTTCAAATGAAAGACATACATGATTTCCTGCGAACTAACATCAGATCAGCACAAGACTTACAGGAGCAAGCCGCAAACAAGACGAGAAAACATGCACCCAATCACCAGGTTGGTGACTACGTATTTCTCTCTGCAAAAAATATAAGGACCACGCGGAATTCCCAAAAGCTCGACTGGAAAAAACTTGGCCCCTTTCAGGTTAATAAAATAATATCCCCATATGCATATCGCTTAGATCTCCCAAAATCAATGAAAATACACCCAGTTTTTCATGTCTCCCTATTGGAACCCGCTCCACATGATCCCGTTCCTGGTCAGTTCCACCCACCTCCTCCACCAATAATTGTCAACGAAGAAGAGGAGTTTGAGGTTGAAGAGGTTTATGACTCGCGGACTACAAAGTGTAATGGATTACAATATCTAGTCAAATGGGTAGGCGAAAACGATCCGACTTGGGAACCAGCCATTAACCTTGACGACACCACTGCTGTTGGAACCTTTCACCAGCGCTATCCCACTAAACCTGGCCCACTAAAAAATAGCTCAAATAACCAGGCTCGCAGGAGCTCACGTCTTAAAGGGGGATCTACTTTCATGGATAAACGTGGCGGAAACTATGATGGTGTCTCATGGGGAGTTCCATTCTAAAACACAACTCGGGGTTAGATCAAGTTCTCAAACAATTAGGACAGGCTCAGGAACATAGGGTCGTTTCATAGGGATTGCGTAGTAATACTGTTCGAGACAGAGCTTAGGGCTGTCCTATTATCTGATGTACATATATACCCAGCGTGAAGGAGTATTCTTCTTCACGCAACGTCTTCTGTTTATACTCATACCTATTGTTCACTTACTTATCTCTTCTCTAAAGAAGACCGCCGTTATTGTACCCTTCTCACCTACTACTTATTTTACCTTTACTTCTTACGTGAACCCTATACCTAACGCTGAATTTATACCTCCTACTCTTAGGAATCACCACCATACTCCACACCTGTAACCTACTTGTACCAAATTCGTACCCTACGGAATACTAATAACACTGCTCCTTGAGAGACACACATATTGTGGTATAGAAAATAATAAACAACCTTCGTATATTTGATTGCCCCAGCATCTATACCTCGAACTGTGACAATAAGGAAGCTTAGCAATCCTTGTGATTGGTCAGTAAACAAGCTTACAGGGTATAAAATCATAGACATTTCTACAGTAAACAATTAATTAAGCATATTCATATTGTGACAGCCCTGCATCATAGTAATGAATAGGGGTGCAATGACATAATGATTAGTCTGTAGTATAAGGAGTTACCTGGTATGGAACGCACGGGCCAGGTGTAAATTATGTACAGCTATAGATCTGCAGATGCTTTCTTTCCCTTCTCTTCCTTAGTTTAGAATCCTATATATTATAATCCTGATTTGAATATCTATTTGATTCGACTTTTTCATCTCCTAGCTCGTGCTCTATCCGGACCCTCACACATATCTATTCATCACACTCACACTTCCACTTCCAATATTGCAGCAGTCACTGCAAGTGTACGTTCCCCATTTCATAGACCAAGTAAAACACTACGCCAACTACCTGTTATGAGTGCAAGGTTATGGGAGGTGGAATGGTTACCAGTAAATAACTGCACGTTCACTGAGACTTGAAGGTAGAGGTAGATTGTAATGATTTAATAGACTTGCTTACTTTCATTCAAGTTTAGAGAATCACTACTTTTATATAAATATACCACATTCTATGGCTTTCCATATCCCCAGTCGCTCAGTTCCATTCAGCTCTGAGTCATCACATTCTATTCCATCCTGTTCTATTCTATCTGACTCTGGTCTGTTCTGTTTTAACCATTAGATTCTACATCTCTGTGATCCACAATAACCAGATGCAGGGGTGGCTATGTCATCAATCACAACACTACCATCTATGTTTCAACCTCGAAAATGTGTTGGAAATGGAGATACAGAGTGTTGTGGACATACGGGCCCTCCATTTGGTCTAGGTTCCCGACACAATCTTGTATGTATTCAAGAGGTTTGAATGGGTAATATGGTAGCGCTTCAGGCTACCTATTGGATATATGAGCGGTTATATGGCGTGGGCGCAGGGAGTTTATTTGGGGTTTTCAATACCTAAATGTCGCCATACTTGTTTATACTGTGGCTTAGGCTATGTGTCGCTTACACTTGTACTTGTAGCTGTAACGGCTGCTAAGCCTAAGAATTCCTGTAGCCTACGCTGGCTAGCGCAGGCAATGACATCAAGGGAATCTTCGGGGATTTTCGGGAAGGATCTCGGGATACACGGAGCTTAGAAGATTCTTAATGAACCTTCTGGAAGTATACTGAAGGTTCATGAGGATGACAGACATATCGAGAGTCTTCTAGGGAATCTTCGAAGATTCCATATTGTTCTAGTCTTAGGGGGAACCTTATAGGAGGGGAGTATCTTAGAGTGTATATATATTTGTAGTCTAGCTATCGGAATTCTCTAGAGAGAATCATAATCAATATACTGTACCTACAAGATCGCCCAAGCATGTTGTACCAAAACCGTGACAGTAGCGCACATTTCTCACACTTTTAGTCAACTTCTACTTTTGTTCCACATAAAAGCTTGTGAGCCGATTGTTGTGTGGCACGTGATTGTATTCACGGGCTTCTATATTTCTACAGTAGTCTACCTTTATTCCAGATCAGTTCAGCTGTTGTGACAGTCGGGGAAGTTCTCAAGCTGGCTTGAGATGCACAATCAATAGTTTACGATTCTTCTAAAGAGAAAATATGTGTGTACAAGAAGGACTTATTTATATCTGCGCTCTCCTCCAATACGTGGCCCGCATCTATTCCTAAGAGCGGACAGATGTACCTATGGGGAGTTTAAGGTTTCTGCATGGGTATTAACTCCCGACGCTCGCCCTACCACTCGGCTACCTTTCAATCAGTTTCGCCATGCCCGAAACAATCCTCTCTGAGCGCATCCAAGTGCTGTCAACTTTCTCAATAGATGTTCCGGCACACGGTCCACCGCATAGTCCTCTAATTATGTCACTCCCCGCGCTCGAGGCAATCCTCCCCGCAACTGTCCGAGTGTTTGCTAGTAGTCCGAGCCGTAGAGTGAGTTTTCCAATACCTCATGTCCCAGCGGGTGGTAAAGGTGCCTGCATTGGCCAATGCAGGCTACAGGGTTTACCGTCGGTTCACCCGCCGTTACAGCTGTGACTGGAATATTCTAGTAATTGGTAGCAAGACTGGGAACTACTATGACTGGAATATACGAGAAGCAGATATCAGTCAAGAACGAGTATTCTAGAGTTCTTCATAGATGTATAAATAGTTGAAGTAATACTCTGATAGTTAGCCATAAAGAAAATTATAAATTACCTTTGTATATCTGATTGCTCCAGCATCAACAATCGAACCGTGACATTCCACATACATTATGCCCATTTCATTGCGCAATATGTCCAACAACATGAAGATCTAAAATGCGTTTGCAGCCAAGAGAAAAGGCCCTGGCAATTTTTAAAGTGCCGACCTGCTTTGCAACGTTGGAGAAGCTATGAGAAAATGGCCCTGCCTGAGGCCAGGGAAATGATAGGGGAAAAGTGATGGCAGAAGTTTATTCGGCTCTTGACTAAAAGCAGATGTTACAGTCTGCCGAAGAATTAACAGGGTGGGAGGTGACCACGCTGAGATTGTTTCTGACCCGAGAGAAAATGGGTGTGGAAGATAGAGATTCGGAACAGGGCACCGTAACTCAGACATATACTGTTCCTTTTGTTTCATTCTTTTCTTTTATTGCTTCTGGCTTCACTGCCAGTCATGTAGGTAGCGATAAGCTTTCAAAGCCCGTCTACCCGTGTCACGTCTAAATAGATGTTAGGTTCGGCCTGTCACGTTAAAGATCTCAAATTCAAAAACAGTGGCTAGCATCATACACGTATCTCGATCCACACCAGTAATCGAGATCTCTAGAAGTGTAGGATTATTTCATCTCTAAATCAGTATCAAGTGAGGGGCTCAATTAGAATGAGACGTACACGCCTGGTAATATCCGGGAAGGGATCACGATTAGTATGAAAAGTATCTGCTTAGTCACATAAAAGTAAGAGAACTCAGTGTTACTCACACACTGTGATGTACCACTTTGTCTTGCTAATAACAACATCCGATTTTGCCCCTCACTTATTGATCTATAGCTCCAGTCCTTACCCCTTTGTAGTGTTATATCGCAAGAGTCTAGCAACTCTTATCGCAATTCCCAAATAACTCTGCCATTTTTACCAGGGGCAAGGAAGAAATACACCATTGATCTTAACCATCACTCCTAAAACGTGACAATTACTATCAAAAACGGCAAGTGATGGATAACTATAATCTTTACAAAACTTTAGACTGAATTTAATCTTTAAAATAAGGGGCAACTTACCCTTCCGATAGGGTTTACCAAACGTCTGAATAAATTTCGAATAGTGATTTGTAAGACTGAAGGTGGGCGGTTGGTGAGTATACATCTCAAGCGGTTGTCTATCATCGATTACCCCATTTTCACAACCTGAAGCAGCTATTCTTTCGACTCTTTCCTTCCAGAATGTAACACCATTGCAAACCACATGTTGATCTTGACGCTTTATGATAGACTTTTCTTTTGTGCAAATTTCGTCATCATTCTCTTTACTGGACACTCTGATTGATGTGATTTCGCAATTGCTATTGAGCTGCACTTGTGAAATGCTTTCATCTGGAAATGATTTTCGTCAAAATCTACATTGAAAAATCATGCTTTCCATAGAGTAAGGGTTTACCTTTCATTTGTGCCAACACCAACGGCTCGGAAAGGTCCCAATCGTAGCTAAGTTCTTCCTTGCCCTTGGATTTAATGTCGATTTTTGACGTTTCCATGGTTGTTTGCAAGCTGTTACATGCGAGTACACGGATAGATTCAAGGTCTTCATCGGAAATTGTGGTTGACTTGCACTGAAAATCTCGTCCTTCAGAAACAGAGGATAAAATCGCAATAATTTGGATTACTTCCAAGGCTACGCCTGTTAAGAATTTCATTGCAGCTAATATTATAAAGCCCACAATCAACGAACGGGATATTATTGAGTCAAATGATCAAGACTTAAACCTGAATATAAATGGTAGCCGTTGAGAAAAGACAGTATCTTTGAAAATGCCTCATTCGAGCAATTTTTAGACATCTCCAATTAATTAGATTCAAATGAAAATTAATCTTGTTGGTTCAGAACTTGTCATGGGATATTTTTTTTAGTAAAGCTTGGATTAGGTTTGGTACTTGTGTTACAGAGTCGCTTGGAGGAGGATTTGACCAAACTTAATAGCTGAAGGGGTCGAATCAATTTCCAGGAAGACGAAGTTTCCGAGAGGGATCCTATTGAATAAGATTTTAGTTGTGCGTGGAGCTATCTAGCTATGACGAAATATCAGACTTAAATATAGAATAAATAATTCAATCTAAAATTAGGGCATCCATGCCTCGAATTTCATTTGTAAGTACCACTTCGAAGTTACGCCAGATTTTTATCCACCCCAAACCAGTCCTCATTAGTGAACATCCGCCCAGGAAAATTTCCCAAAACCCCTGGGTTATGCAGACATAAATCTGCGCGAAATGTGGTCTAGGCCGTTTTTTTCCCAAGCACAGAAAGTGTCCAGACTATTCAAACTAAACAGGAGAACACTACTAGCAGGCGGACCATTATACCTTCCATTTATTAATTCATTTTATTATCCTTTCTGCCTACAGGTCAAGGATATCTATGCCAGTAGTATATCCCCTCTTATGCCTCCCATATAGCTCCACTCAAGCAGTACCATCCCTCACAAGTCCTCAGTGAATCATACACTTCGAGGATCCCTTTGCCCTTCATTATCTCCCCTCTCCAGCCAACGAACCGATGGCCATTTGCGGGAGTATGGCAGCCGAGAAGTATCGCAAAAAGCGCTGGGTGCGGGGCTGTTCTAATACCGACATTAGGACTACATCTGAAGACATGGTGACCCTTCTGAAGCGTTTGAAAAGGCCGGCCAGCTGGGCGCTGCAGACTTGTGGGTACCCCGGGAAATTCATCCTCTACCTTTCTAACCTCCTTCCCGAAGGTCGTATTGAAATTTCAGTAAAGTCTTGACAGAGCGTGATTGCTGTATGGTAGCTTGGCCCAACTCATTTAGGACCGGTAATACATTTCATCGTTGGCTTGAATTTTAATTGTCAGCTGCGCTCTTGCATTCAAAGTCTTGGCGCGCACAAAGCTCAGCTTGTAAAATCCCTTGCTAAACCACCAAATTAAACCCCCGTCGGGATGGTGCCAAGATTCTATATCATCTTGTCCACTTATCCTGATCTCTCTCACGTCCATCCCAAAAAACTGCCCCTGAGATTTGTGCGCCGCGCTCTACTTCCTCCGGCGAGTGTAAATCTCGGCGCTGGCATATATAGCGTGGCCAGGCTTGGCTAGAGGATATTCGATGAGAGACGTGGTCATAGGAATAAAGATGTTCTGTATCGCAGTAGAAAAATTGTCATGGTTTTTGATTGGTATTTACCTTGTTGGGAGGAAATGATTGGGCCGAAAGAGAGTCTTGATTCATTGCCTCATATGCCAACTTCTTTGCAATTAAGTAACCTGGCCGGACCTGGGTTTGGGAAAATATTCGACACCCTGGTTCGTAGAACCCGTGGCGAACGGGGGTTCAGTCCTTATACTCCAATTTGATTGAGAAATTAAACGAAGAATTCAGCCTTATTTTCTCAAGACCCTCTTACCCGCTAAAAATGAAATTAAAGATGAATGCAAATGAAAATGCGCGCGCGGGAAGCCATCGGCCCCACTTAGGCGAGGCCTGTACTCCAGCAACAGACGACGTGCGCATATCTATATTGTCGAAATATTTCCTATGATTTCTTTGTTTGAAGCAACTCAACCACGATAATCTCATTCATTCGTATCTATGTCCATTTATGAGGGAGCGCAAGGATCTTAATCACCTTGAAAACTGCTTACATGAAATTTGTTCATATTTATTTTATTCATCATCCTGATTTGGCGCCTTGAGGCGCATGCAGGTGTTATCGGAAGATACGTACTTTAACTAGAATGACTCAATTTGACGTTTAGAACACTCACACTCAGATTTCATTGGCAGATACCACTCGAGGTTAAACTTTACGGCGTATGACCTCTTCCGCGCATACCCACCACAGGGTGGAGCGTTTACAACTTGTGGCTGCTAGAATGTGCTTTCATCTTCCCTCAAGTATAAAATCATAGCATGAGGGTACGGTGCGTAGGTTTTACTGATTTCCAATCAGCTTTCTCCTGTCTCGAATGGGGTGGGTTATCAGGCTACCCAGTATTGACTTGGAGGAACGGCCCGAATGGTGTACCACCGCACCATCCAACCCTATCTGATTGTGTAACTACTACTAATAATTACTCAATTGTTGTCACATTATCATAATCATTATTACCGCCTAAACTCCAGAATCCTTATTTTATGCACATCCAAATAACACTTGTGTCCTATTATTCGACACATATATATCTCCATTCTTTGTAACAATAGAGGCTAACTTGATCCAATCGACCAGCGCGATATTGGGTGCTTGGTGGACTCTGTAAAAATCATCGGATGGCTTTTGCTCCATGATCTTTTTTTTTCGCATCAGTTTTGAATTGCGTATGCAGCTAGATAGCTATGACACAATATCAGTGAAGAAGTACAGAATAGACGAATTATTTTGAAAGAAAAGCACTTCGTCCATGATCAAGGGTGGGTGAAGAGTAGTGTTGGTAAAACACGAAGTAATACAAATTTGGTGCCGTCACGAAGTCGGTGAATATATTCAATTCACTGGTATCTCAAAATACATAAAACGTTGTCTCCTTCTCTCTCTTCTCTCCCTCTGCCCTTTCTTCCTATACTCCAAGTGCCTCGCTGATGAGCTAAATCAGGTACCTGTCACAGTCCTAACGACATCCTGAACACCGCAATTACATAGAACAATTCATAACGCCCAAATATAATCCTTTTACCGACAAATAGGGCTTCGACCCTATCATCGGATATGATCGTGGTTAGCTTCACGATAATGGTGATATGGGGAAGTGTTAAGGGATGAGGACGGTTGTTTCGGTTACACTTCGACAAATCAAGCGTAAGGAAATATGGGTATATTCCAGGCTACTGTTTCGGTCCTAAGGAATATCTGATGCTTGCACTGAGACACCCGAAGAGGCTCTAAGTCAATAATTATTACAGGGTCAAGGGTTGGATGGTGCAGCGGTACACCATTCGGGCCGTTCTCCGAAGTAGATACTGGGTAGCTTGAACACCCACCCCATTCGAGACAGGAGAAGGCTGGTTCGAATCCAGTAAAACCGTCATACTACTCTCTCCAGCATTGATATTGTACTTCTAGGATGATATAAGCACACTCGGATAGCCACAAAGCTTCCACGCTTTTCCCTGTGGTGGTTAAGCACGGAAGAGGTCATACGCCGTAAGGGTTAACCTCGAATGCTACCTGCAAATAAAATCTGAGTGTGAGTGTTCTAAACGTCAAATTGAGTCATCCTAATTAAAGTACATATCTTCTGATAAAACCTGCATAGGCCTCAAGGCGCCAAATCAGGATAATGAATAATAACTATTGTTACAGGGTAATGTGGGGGACTATTCTCAACACCTGTTAGTGGTGTCCCCTTCGAACCTCCAGCTCTCACTGTAGAGTCTGCAGAGCCGAGATTCAGTAACAAAGTCCTCACTTCGACGAGTATTCCCAATCGCTTTCGCCATCTGTATCGTCCTCATCTCTCAACCTATTCTCCTATCACCATTATCATGAAGCTAACCACGATCAGATCAGATGGTAGGGTCAGAGCTCTACTCATCACCAAACCTTGATCATGTTAGAGTATAGAGAAGACTTCGGAGTAAGAATTGCCTGAGAACGGAGAAGAAGTTCAGTTTGCTTAATTTACTAATAGACTACAGGTATTATGATATATACAGTGGAATTATAAGAAATAGAGGTTACCCGGAACCGACTCGACTGCATAAATAAGTGGGACCCCGTACCAGAAAATAATTATCCACTGACTGAGAATACTGGGTCACGCAATAGAAGTACGAACAAACCAATGACTGGATTTGTTCGGGAAGAATGGGATTCAAGCAGACTCTAACGTTGAGTCCGATTGGATCAGAGATGTGGGATCCTGCCCGAACTCAGAAATATAGTTCAGGCAAGATGCATGCAACCACATTGGTCGATAGAAAGAAAAGCAGGAAACTGTATTTCCAACACTCCTCCTGATCAATGCGGTGAATGCGAGAATGCTATACCATCTGAAAAATCCTTTCAATTAGTGGTTTAGCTTTTTGCTGCGGAAGAGGTTTAGTTAGAATATCCGCCAGCATAGAAGTTGTAGGTATGTAAGACACCTTTATGTTTCCATTAAGAATACATTCCCTAACGAAGTGATAAGCAACATCAATGTGCTTAGTTTTAGAAGAATTGGTCCCTTTCGCAATCGCAAGTGCACCCTGGTTATCAGAAAAGGTGAGAATACCATCATCGTGTATGAGCTCGCTAACATGTAGCTCCTTTAGAAACCTAGAAAACCAAATCGCCTGCTTAGCAGCTTCAGACAAGGCTACATATTCAGCTTCAGTGGTTGAGGTTGATACCGATTTTTGTTTTCGCAATTGCCAACACACAGGACCGCCACCAAGCATGAGAAGAAAACCGCTTACTGACCGACAAGTTGTAACATCAGAAGCATAATCCGAGTCGGAAAATAAGCATGCAGCTTGGTTGGTGGTAAGAATTGGTGATGAGGGACCGAAGCTGTAAGTAATACAGTAGTTTGAAGAGCCTTTAAGATATCGAAATACTCTACAAACACTGTTCCAGTGGCGCTGTACTGGATTTGAGTTGTATGCGCCAAGTTGGGAGGTGGCAAAAGAAATATCTGGCCGAGTTCCAATAGATGCGTATCCAAGGCTGCCTACTGCGCTAGCATAGGCGGAAT